TCGCAGGAAATCAGTGTTATCTGTCAACATAAGCTAATGTGCCGCTACAATGGATTAAATGTAATGTCTGTTTAGCTGACCTTAGTCGATTCACTTTCATCCTGGTTAGAAGCTTGTTGTTAACGCACGTCTTCTTTTTTTAATAGTCTACTCAACTAGCTTGGACCTGTTGATGTGGTGAGTAAATCCGGAGAGACGACCGACCATGACTTCCCTGGTAAGTTTTCACTTCACAGAAACACAAAATCTCACTTTTATCCCCGAGAATGAAGTCTAGTCTTGTGCTTTTGCACTGTTTACGATAAGTGTATCAATGTGTTTGTCTCACAGGGGAGCAGCAGTTCCTCGGCCACAGAATACACCGTGCGAGTCCCCAAGTGAGTAACATGGACTGAAAGTAAATACACCCACAGTAAAGTGTGTGGGCAAGCCTTGTCACCACTTTGTGGTGTAATAGAAAAACTAGACGGAGTTGTGTATTTGTGTGTTCACAAGGCTTTGCTAAAGGAAGTGATCATTTGTAGGATTTCATTGTAGGAAATTTAAGTAAAGTAAAAATAAAGTATATCTTACTTTACAGGTTTTGATTGTATGTATACGTACCAGCCTGGTGCTGTTGGTTAAATCTCTTTGTCCTGTTTATACTTACAGTGTTAATGTGAATGTTTTTCTGCAGTGAGTTAGTTGTGATCCGGTAGCTATTCCTATCACCCTCACTAGAAATAATGTTTTGTTTGCATTTGTGTTTTTCTGTCCCATAGAAACACCAGCAAAAAGTACAACATCATGGCTTTCAATTCAGGAGACAGAGTCAACTGTTCAGCCTGGACACAGGTGGGCTTCGTGTCAGTTTGTCTACACGTGACAGCTGCCACTTGGTCTGGCACAGAGTCAGCACTGAGAGAGCAATAACAAGCAGTGTGATTACCCTAAGAAGAACATAAATCAAAGAATATAGAATATAGTTAGCCTTCATTACAACCGTCACTCAGTTTTTCATTTTTTAACATCTCCCTTCCCAGGCCCGTATGGAAAGAGACATGAGTGCTCGGCGTATATATGGCGAGGAAGAGTCGCAGGAAGGCGCAGCGGGCAGTGAGTTTGGCAAAAAGCAGCGCGAGGAAGCACGGCGGAAGAAGTATGGTATTGTGACGCGTGAGTTCAAAGTGGAGGACCAGCCCTGGATCCTCAAGGTCAACGGCAAGGCCGGCAAGAGGTGGGGAAGACGAGACTTCTTTATGCTCTCAATCTCTTTAACCTGTTCATGTGTGGAGGGAACGCATACCTGCTTCTTGTTTTTGCATCCAAGTCATTATTTACACATCTCTCAGTGAGTTCATGAAAAATAATTTTAAGCAGGAAAGTGTTTTATTTTGACCTGATATTTTGATTTGACTGTTTCCGATCTCTGCCCGTGTACATGTTTGTTTCAGGTTCAAAGGTCAAAAGAAGGGCGGCGTTACAGAGAACGCATCCTACTACATCTTCACACAGTGTCCCGATGGAGCTTTTGAGGCCTTCCCTGTCCACGGCTGGTACAACTTCACCCCGCTGGCCAAGCACCGAACTCTGACCGCCGAGGAGGCTGAGGAGGAATGGGGCAGGTGAGGGATAAGAAGAACGAGGAGGGGTGGTTGTGGGTGGTGCAGGTGTGTCGAACACTTAATATACCAGACGTTCCCCCGCTTTCGCAGGAGAAACAAGGTGGTGAATCACTTCAGCATCATGCTTCAGAGACGCTTCCGGGAGCAGGAACGGGGTGAGGACGACGACGACGAGGGCGAGAAGTCGGGGAAGAAGAAAAAGAAGGGCGGTGGCAGAGGGGGCGACCTGCACATTCACGACCTGGAAGATGATCTGGAGATGAGCAGCGATGACAGTGACAGCAGTATGGGGGATGGTAAGGACAGAGATGCAGGATGAGACTGAAGACAGATGGTGCGTTCGTTTTGTCTTGTAATCGCAACTTG